TACTTTTTCTCAAAGTCGGGAGAATGTCGGAGATTCATAATATATATTTGTATTCGTTTTCATATTGCTAATATTATTACATGTCATTTCGCTATAGTTAATTCGTTTACCTTTCGCATGAAGGATTCCTCTGAGTAATTCTCGACCAATTAGAATCATTTAATTTCAGCCAATCATTTTACTCTGTATTGTATCTTTTTCTCCCGCGTACTTCATTTTGTATTTCCCGCTTACGTGTTTTCTCTCACGTTCGATACGCACCTATATAAAGGGCTAGTTTCGGAGTTTCGGGGCTCCTTATTCATGTGTTACATGTTTTTCTATGCCAGTTTATCCAGCAATAAACCATACCGTGTTTTGCATCCACATTGACTGTTTTATTCTGCCATCAAGTTCAACTGAAGCGTATTATTATACCCCACAACGCCTACCATTTGGGGGGTTTCGGAAAACCAAATTGTCGTCGTAAGTACGCTTTTATTGTATGTATATGTGAATTTTATCCGATTGTTATGATTTTCTAGTTACGATACGCGCCTGGAGCTTTATTTGTAACCTCGGGCGGACATCCGTGTATTTTCACCACCTGGCAACCACCAGGATGAAAACAAAGGCCGAAAACTCACAGAAAAATGTACTTTGGGATAGTTGTTGAGACTACTGAACAGTGTAACAAGACTACCCCTACATGTGTAACATATATACATTTGGTTGCTCAAGATTACCTCAAAGTTGAGTATGTGCTGTTTCCTCAATTTTAGCTGTTTTATTATAGCATACGTCGCATGGATCTCATATCGAACTCGACGCGGCGCGACGACTGTAGCGCCTCAATCTCCATAAGAGTGTCGATTGCAACAGCGCTACAACGTGACGATTTGAAATGAAAAAAAACGAGAAACCAGAACATGTGCATCTTAGTTGCACTACTAAATACAACGGTCAACAGAATGGCGTGAGATTTTCTTATACGCACTTCACGAACTAGACGTAATATTGCATTGCATAACTTCACCTGGTTTTACCAAATCTCAACAAATAACTACAATTACAGCGTTCACTCTCCAATATATCACACTAACATGATATAATATAATATAATAAAAACAGACATTCTTCAGTAAAAATTTCTACAGTTGAACGGGAGAATAATCTGAGCTGTCCGTCATGTCTGCCTTCCCCGCTGAGATCGGCATTTGCCGCAGTTCGAATTTAAATGGTCAATATATGCAGATTTATAAATGTGTATTTTATGTCTTTCCGAGTAGAAACAGTCGACAATGTGGGCTCAAATAAAATGAATTATTCTTTAAGTTGTGTTGAAATATAAAATAAAATTTTAAATAAAATATAATATAATTTTTTGTTAAAACAACACGGGAAATATTAACATGATTGCATATGTATGCGTGTGTCACTGTAAATACATCGTATAAGCGATGTTGTCTTTAGTAATACGCTGCTGTCACAGGCGATGTAACTGCCAACAGCTAAATAGACGGACGCCGGCTTTATCAACAAGCGCAACAGCGCCATCGCTGGTCACGCTGACGCCCTGCGGCTTCGCAAATTTCTTGTCACCAATACAGCGCTTGATGCGGGTTTTGCACTCGCCCTCTACGTCATATACCCACAGGTAGTTAAGTTTTTCGTCTGCGACATACAAATTATTGCACTCATCTACCGCGATACCAGAAATGCCAGGAAATACGCGTTTGTCGCCAATGCAATATAAGAAGTGGCCTGACTGTGAAATTACTTGAACGCGACAGTTACGTGTATCAGCGACAAAGAGGTGATCACGGCTGTCTATAGATAAACAGGTAGGGTAACGAAATGTTCCGGACATGGTGCCGAATTTGCCTATCACCTTGGTAACCGCATCGCCCTGTAAAACAACAACACAACTGGATTTATGTGACACCACGTATAGCGCCCCCTCGCTGTCGAAGGCGAGACCCCATGGCCCGCGGATGGATTGATGGTGGTATCGCGCCACCAACGCCCCAGTTGCGGAAATTCTCAACACAGAGTCAGACGAATGGTCGGAAACTACGAGGTGGGTTTCGTTTTTCGTTAAAATTACCTCGCGTGGATCGAACAACTGTTTTTTCGATATTTTGAAATTAGGACTATCGGGTGGATACTTCCAATTCGTCGACCCACCACGGGTGAATGCGCGTAGTTTCCTGTTGCCCGAGTCACACACGAATACGCTACCATCAGACGATACCACTGCAGCTCGCGGGCTTCGAAAGTCTGCTCTGACGGAATTACCTTCACCTATTCTGGCAATCAGTTCCGGTTCGAGTCTGGTAAACGTCGATGCGGATGAGATGGCAAGATCCGGTAAAGACGATGAGTTGTTGGAGTTTAAAGACAAAGTGTCGGCACTGAAGGACAGTTCGTTGTTGCCAAACGCGCCACCAACGTGACCGTCGACGCGAGTTAAAGACGAACGCTTCTGTCCTTCCTCGAAACTGTACGCACTTTGAGCCCGGGGCAGGGATCGATTGTTTGACCACCACGAATGCCGCTTCCAGATCTTTTCTGCTTCGGAAAAACTTTCTCCCTTTCTTCGCCATGTGATACCGATCTAATTAACACACTTCGCTGTTTTTCCGTCGTCTTTTTGTCAACGCAGGAATCTGAGAACTTGACGTTGAGCTGTGACCCGACAACAGTTCCGTTGTTCCGTGCTCGGCCATTATCTCCATGCGTTGGTTTTGTATCCGTATCGTAGTGCGTTTTTATTGACGGTTTGCTGTCTTGGACGGGCTCTTCCATCGCTAATAGTCCGAACAAAACTTGACTCAGTTCCGACGTTTCTAATGGAGTTGAACATTTTTCTGTTTTCGTCGAGGAACATTCGCTGTCAATTGATGTAATCACACACTGTTTTAATTGAGTATTTTCCAGTTGCATTACACCGTCAGTTTCAGTTACTCTCGCATCTTTTGTTGAATTGTCGTCCTGGTCGAACTTAAAAGTAACAGTTTTCTTGCAATCGCTGTCTGGCTTGTTTTTCAACGAAACAGCAAGATACGTTGGGCGGGATGTACCATCGGTTCTTTGATTATCGTGCGAGTTTTTCGACTAGAGATACGAAAAAAAGTATAAGAAAATGCGTGTTACATCGTGGCGCCTACAATATGTTGACTAGAGTCATTATAAATTTATCGCATTTCTGAGGTTAGAAGGATAAAGCAGACTGCGTGTATTGTATATCATATAATCCTACGTCATTGCAACATCGGTGACTTCCGGTGTCTGCGTACCGGATTAGGAATATGGCAACTGTTAGCCGTGATACAAAAGTAAAAAACGTTCCGTTCAATGGCAAACAATCATTGAGGACTATAGTTATACTATGTACTCACGTTTTGGAGAAATCTCGCGATATTTATGACGTATGACGTCAATGTATGTCGTGAGCAATAATCTATCTAGATTTAATTATGCTAAACTGGTCGATATTATCTCATACATTGGACAATATATGATTACGAGGACGTTACAAATAGTGATCTAAGGCCAAACAATAACTCATGATTGTGTTGAAATATCCATATACTATACACCCCTCATACCTATAACGAAATAGCGGTATTGGCAGATACTGGCTGTAATTGCTTTATGGTCATTTCAAAAAATAAATACTCTTGTATTTTTCCAAATGTTTGTTTCTTATTTCTAAGTGTCATATCATTCAAAAAGTCAGAATTGCAAAAATGTATTTAGTGCTATACTAGTATCAAAAAATCCGCTAATAGAAATAAAACTCTTTTGACAGCATATTTTCATTAAGTAATAACTGTCATGCAGTATCACAGTTGTTGAGATTGTTTCGAGATGCGCCCTCTAGTGACAAAACATTTCTGTGACGCAATAACGGCGAATGGCCGTCGAGATCTCGTTCATAGCGAGAGTGAGAGTCATGAGGTTTGTGTTTGCCACTGAAATAGTGTTCACAGTTCGTTCGGTCATCGCGTTCACCCTTACCCTGCTCTATGTAACCATGGTAATTAGAGCAGTCGACGCGATGACGATAGAGAATAGAAAACGTAAGTCTCGTGACTCTCGCGCTCTGAACGAGATCTCGGTGGCCATTTCGCGTCTAAGATCTACTGATACACGGTGAATATTATTTAGATGTGTCGCTTTTCATTAACAATTACTGGTTTTACAATTTAATTTTTAGTTTTGTTATATTCTAAAATGACTACTGCACACAACCAATCAGATTTGTCTATTTGAACGACATTGATAACACCCATTAAGTTATGTTGTTGACGTCACGAAATCACGAAAAGGGCGCGACTTTGTATTGCATGTCCTATATGTGACCCGATGTACTGATTTGTTTTAATTTCTCCCTACTTTCTACATACTGTAAAACATGTTGAAAAAGCGGCATGCAATTTTAGCGAATTGTAGTAAAATGACGTAATAACGAAATGTTGATTTAGCGAATCTCTCTTGTCATTGTTGATTTCTTTGTCTGGCGGCCATTTTGAATTGTCATAAAGTCATTAGTGACATCTTGAATTAGCGAATCAGTTCTCTCGCTAAATTCGCAAAAAAGACATGTTTTACAGTATTATATACTACATTGTTTGCTTTCCACGTTTCTTTCAAGTCACGTTTTAACCTTTAAAGAAAGAGTCGACTGTTTTGCCTCCGTGTATAACATAAACACCCACTTTCCATATTTATTGAATTACTGTTAAAATGATAGCGATTTTCGTTGTTGGTTTCTTGTTGGCATTCGATAAGCGGTATTTTTTAAGATATACTGTGAAATACTTTAAAATAGCTTTATGCAATTTTAGCGAATTTGTCCCAATGCATGAATTAACAGAATCTTAGGTTAAAGCGGGATAGTCGTTACATGTGCATGCGTCAGATGATATTGTGTCATTGTTTACAAACAAGCGTCTACCCATGAGCCTTTGCGTTTTAGCGTGCGTTGTTATCGTCGTTTGGGACTCAATTCCCGCGCGTGCGCAGGGGACTACCCTCCCGCTATAACTAATAAGCCAAAGTCTCATTGCGAGAATGTGCTTTTATTTTAAATTAGCGACATCTTGAATTAGCAAAATTACAGATTAGGTAAAATAGCATGTTAGCTAAAAACGGCATGTTTTACTATACAGTAACGAATCGCTTGAAGTACGACAAAGATTTAATAACCCGGTCTGAACTCACCAGTGCCGTGCGAAGACCCAACACTGCATTCTCTACATTCGATGCATATACATTATTGTACTCCTGGTCAACATGTCGATGCAAATCTGAAAGAAATCATAATTACCTTAACCTTTAGCAAATAGCGAATAATAAAGATTCGTATGATGACGTCGCCATCTAAGATAGAGACAACAACAGCTGAACATCGGACTGGAAAGTCCGTGGAAATAGTCGATGAAATTGAATCAAGCATCGTTTATGATTAACAGTAAATGTCGATATATTGATACAGTCACGGGACGTGAGTTGCTCTCTTATAATTAAGCGTTCAGTAACCGGTAATAACTAATAATTTGTTAAATATTATACACAATTCACCTATGAATTTTGCATCATACTTCAAGTTCGTGATTCGTTTAATATGCCCTACAGACTGACTGACATGCGATATAATGATAGACTAGCTGGTCCATCGATCGATCGATCTATTGGTTGATACATATATAGAACACAATCTGTTTTTAAATGGACGTACCATGAAAAGGCGGTCGTTTTTCCGGATCCACGTCCCAGCACTCCTGCATTATGCGCGAGAGTATTGTAGGACAGTCTTCGGGAATAGAACTTAGGTCTGGCCGGCTTCCTTGGCAAACGGCAGATATAAGGTGCCCATCATGATGGTTGTCAGTTGCTGTAATAACGAGATGTCAATTCAACGTTCGTGCATAAAACAAGACAAGTGCCGATCGACTCCAAATCCACCGAAATGAACACCCGAAATACAACACCTACTCAACAACGCAGAGACTCTTTACTCGCTGATATATTCACTCACTGCTAATACTACAAGTATGATCATATTTCGTTCCCGAATATATAACTGTATGTACCATTCTAATATTGTGTGATGACATCGTTTTCTAAGGGTTTCCATCGATTAGGAATTGCGATTAATTTGACTGATCTGTGAAAGCGTGAAAATTGCATACAAAAATATCGTATGTACAACACGTATAAGCTGCCGGATCAGCTTTCGGAGTATTTCTTTAAATCAGTGACATTATGAACATTTCCTAATGTAATAGGTTTATTACATGAAATATATGACCATGTCAATAAAAAATGCAAACTGCGTTTCTTGAATTATTTCCTCAGCATATTAGTATTATTCACACGTTCATAATAAACAATGTATTTTACACGCGTTGTATACGTTGCTATGGGTTCAATATCGAACAGGACGCGGCGCGACGACCACCGCCCTTTAAACCAATATGCATTTATTTAGTTGTGAAATCCATTCCACTACGTTAAACTTCCTATATGGGAGCCAATAGGAACTGATTAACACTTCTTCTGAAAAAATGTTATTATATAGTAAAATAATATATTGATATAATCACCATGGCGATTAATTCCAGAATTAGTTGCCACGTTCTCTAACTCGGGTGGCTGTGTCGTATTTCGAAGTATCGTTTCTCGTTGCCAAAAATAGAATAGTTGCAAGTTACAAGGACGAACACAACATCATCCATCATCGTATCGATTGCATTGTTTTTTGTATTCTTTATAAGGTAGAATATTGACACTTTCTTCATCTTTACATTTTTGATATTTCATGTCACGAGGATGACGAAAATGGAATAAAAATATGGGGTCCCCGTACTTGTTTCGGGGAAATGGATGTACAAAATGGAGTGTAAATAGCATGTTTTGTTATTTTTAGGGCATTTTACCATTGTTTTCTATGGAAAAGATTTATCTTAATATTTTGCCTTGTGACATATGGTGAAAAAAGATATATAGTGTCTTACAAAATATACAGTGACTCAAAGAAGTTCACATATTGTTGACTAATACTAAAATGAATAATTGTAGACAGAATTTGACACAAAATATTACTCCTGCTATATGCGCTAAAAAAAACCGTCTGTGGCATTCTACCTTATTAAATGCATGTATATGTGAGGCGACAGTTGGTGTTATAAGTTTTACGCCACAATTATAATTTCTAACATGGCACGAAGTAAGCCGCTCTAATTTGAAAATAATAATAAAACTAAGCCATAAGTTTGGGAGTGGAATTTTACCGAAAAAACAACCGGTTTCAAAATGTATGACTGGTGGATTTAGAGTGTGAGTGCTCTCGTGGGTCAATATTGCCAAGATTGCCAAGATTCGGCTTCCCTCCATAAATCGCTACACTCAAGGATCTCCCACAATGACAAATACAATGACTGGTTTCGGTATACGAGACTTGTCGTTGACAATAAACACGACGTGTGGAAACAGGTGAAACGAACACTTATTTGAGATTCGCAATGCATTCCCAGTTGATATTTGTATTTTCCAGAGTCAAACGCACCGCGAAATTGACTCGCAATCGCGAAGTACGATTAGAAAATGCTTAATGCATACTTACATGGGTAGCTCTCTAATCCAGTCACCAGCTCCCAGAGCACGATACCAAAACTAATATTAGAAAAAAACAAGTAATGTCAACGTGGCATTCACACCATCCACATTATAGAGGGTTGGTATATTAATAACGATAATCTCCGGGGGCTCGGGGGGTCTTGGAGTTCTTGTAATCTGTTTACCATCGATGATTGTTTTATGGGATCGTTGACTATATTTGATACGAGAAAATCGTTATTTAAACTGAAAACAAGAATTAATCAATTTGCCATTAATATGCGATTTGCCGTGCTACGGTGAAAACCTGTGACGACCACTGAAGCCAAACATATGTCATTTGGGTATTTGGGTTACGGTCACCTTTTGTTCAATTTCATTTACCATTGTGTATTGCAGATCCCAGTTGTACTAGTAGTTAGATTAGCGTATTCACCGACATCAGTTAATATGTTTAAACGAATCTTTTAGATGGAACTGCATCAAAAGTTTGAGAAACGGCTTTGTCCTAGCTAATTCAATGCGTGCGCAAGCCTTCGATACAAGCAAACATTTAATGTAGTCTTAAATACAAGTCAATGTTTTAAACAAAATACTCTTTTTAAGATTCGGAGAAGCGATTTGTTAGACTGATCGCAATATTTAATAAAACATAATCATTTCCGATGATAATGCCACAACCCTTCCATTCTCCCATTAACATCTTGTATTGTGTGTGGAGAAAGTATTTGGAAGAGTCACATTAAGACCCTATACAGCCCAAATTGAACGGTTTTGGTCACGGTAATACGATTATCTTAAGTTAACGGGTGAGCACGCGGCGAAGCGTGCGATCATTTGACATTCAGTTTGACCCCTAAACTTACCTGTAAATATCATATACATTATCGAGTGGACGGGTTGGATCGATCAAGAATTCAGGCGGGATTATACTCATATTTCTGGAAGAACGTCTTTTCTTGTTATTATTATCATTACTATAGCAACTGGAAAAAAATGCTTCTACAGTCGTGATACTGAAGTCACTTATCTGAAAATGTAAACAAAGCAATATAATAATTCATGACGTCAGCTTATTTATTATTCATAATATTTGCATATTTAAAAAGCAATATGGCTGACGAATCAATTTAATTTCAAAGTGGTTACACATGCATGAACCTACATGTATTTCGTGAATTCAAATAAATGCTCACTCCGAAATGTTCGGTACGAGTCAAATGTGCTGTTCACCCAAAATTTCAACGTATTTTAACGCCGACTGAGTGAAAGTGTGTGTGAGAGAGAGAGAGCAGAGGTGGAAGAAAATAATGGGAAGATGGCGTATTGACCTATGATTTAGCCGTAATTGCCATTAATATCTTCATCCAAGCGTCAAATCAAATTACGTTAATTGATATGTAGATCAGCACTAGCATACAGCGGTGGCCTTGTCTACATCAATTATATCACTTGCCAGGGAACAAGTTTAACAAGAAATACTTAAACAACTTAAAAGACATTGGACTACCATCTACAGTCTGTACTAAAAATAACCTATTTCTGTGTGGCGTCTTCGAGAACATGTTCTGAAATGCTCACAGTTTAAAAGGGAGCGAAAAATAAATATGAGCCTCTACAGGAAATTGGACAATTGATCACATGACTACAAATTACGATGGAGTTGCGTTTTACATATCATTGACAGCTGAACGCACGACAGTCAACGAGTAAAAAACGGCATTATCTAACAATATCAGGGGACTTTTCACGCGAACTTTCCTTTATATAACATGTGCAACAAGGACAAGCCATTTTGAACAGACCTGATATTATTAAAGGACGGTGGTCGTCGCGCCGTGTCTGTTCGATATGGGACTAGAAATTCGAACACGCGCTGTGTGACGACCACCGCCCTTTAATAGTTTTACTTGGTGAAGGCAGCCATATTGTCGCGTGACCTGGAAGTTGGGAACATACATGGCGATGACTCACTTAACAAAATGACCAAAGAATTTCAGAAATACTGTACGTACAAAGAAAAGCCATACACAAACTTGTTTCCAAGGTAACAGAATATTTCACAAAATATCCAATTATATCAATCAACAAATATGTTTCATCAAATCAGATAAAAAAACGCGCACACAACACATTGTTCATTATTGTCTCTCTTAATGCAGTACTAACATTGCTCAACACTGATTCAAAATTTGTAAAAACAACGTGTTTTACGTAACATGGGACCCATAACATACAGGGCGCTGTGTGACGACAGCGGCTTTAACTCCCTAGCTTCGCGTTTATTCGACTTTATTTTGCGTAGCACATTTAAACTGACACTTCAGATAAATGTACGTACCAGTAACTGAAGACGCGGGCGCATTTCAATATTGCCTCATGTGGCTTTGTGTGCCACGAAAAAAAACCTTGTTGTATAATTTGATCACATGATGGTGTGCAGCTAAATATACTTTGAAAACAAATATCGAATAACTCGTATAGAACTACGTACAAACATGACCGTGAGCGGAACATTGGGGGTGTGCTACATCGAAAAGTAGGTTGAAAAAGAGCGCTTACACATGCTTTAAAGCGGGGTAGTCGTCACATGCTGATGCATCAGATGGCCATAGCGTGTCATTGTTTACAAACAAGCGTCTACCCATTAGCCTTTGCGTTTTTAGCGTGTGTTGTTATCGTCGCTTGGGACTCAATTCCCGCGCATGCGCAGGCGACGATCCTCCCGCTTTAATATGCAAATAACATTCACAAGCCATCACGAAATGATAATTACAAATTAATATACCTTGACATGAAAATCATCATCAATTAAAATGTTGTCCCGTTTCAGATTGCCGTGCACCACGCAGTTTTCATGGAGATACGTCATTGCTGCCAGCATCTCGTCTACCATTCGATACTTGAGGGAAACAGGTACACGAGTTGACGATGTATTCTGCAGCTGTCTGAGCGATCCATGCTTCATATAGTCTAGAACGATCGAATAACTGTCGTGTTGCCTAATGAACCCATGTATCGGTACTAAATTCGGACCCGTTGCTATGGCAATTAGCGACTTAATTTGGGCTTCAATTCGGTCCAATTCTCTGCAATTTAGAGCACATACAGAAAATATAATTGATAAAACGTCAGTGATTGGGGCACGTACGTGTTAACTTCTACATGTAAGGGAATTATAAATTAGCACAAAAGTGGTTATTATATTTGAAAATCAGTCAGTGGTATTTCTCTGTGCTGATGAAACGAATGTGCCGATTTTCTCGTTACTAGAATGCAGTTCACTGCAATATGACGTCATGTACATACTGTCTAGTTTTATATCATTATTGCAACGGCGTAAACTAGCTTCTTTATAACAAACAATGTAGTTGTTTTGGACAAGCATTATTTTTTCTTAGCACCATAGTGTCTGACAAATCACAGGATTGGTTCAAATTCCTTTCAGCTGCGTTTCACGCACGGGTGGAATACAATGGAAAGAAAATGTTTACATACACACTTCAGTTTTGCGCGAGGATGTTTCATACACTACCGTGGGGGGGGGGGATTAAAAAAATGGCGCAGTATCACGCTACAGCCGTGTTCTTTGATGCGATTGGTCAGCCCGTCGACACGTTGGGTAACGCAGATAAACGATCTTTGCGGCACGAAATCGTGCAAAACCTGTCAAAAGATCAGACGACATCAATGACGAAGTAATCTCACACCCTTCCCCTAAAATGAATTGTTTCATTTGGTTTGCAGCAAGTGTTCACGACAAACCACGAACGTGGTGAATGGTGTTAGGCAATACTCCAATAACAAACCGTTGTTGGCCTCAACGAACTACTTTAAACTAAATGCAGCAAAATAACATTACGTTGTGTTAAAAAGTATCCATCCGCTGATTGAAACACACCGTACACTGTTGCTTTGATGGTCAGTTGATATGTGCATAGAATATTTGATACGCTTGTTTATTGGAGGAAAGTGTTTCAAAGACTAAATTGAGAGTATTGGCTTTCCGGCAAAAACTACAGCACAACTGAGTATCGCGTTACCAGAGACTGTGACGTTGGAGTGAGTGGGCGTTTCACACACTGAAGTGAAACTCTTTGCCGAGACTTCTAGTGTGCACTGATGATATCGAGACGTTATTGTTCACTAGTAGCAAAATTTGTTATGCTTGTAGAAACCTCCCAGTTCGGTAGCAGAGCGCCAGGCGCTGAGATACCAAGCACTGTAACAGCATCGTGCGCCCGTCAACATTAGAATTCACACAGTTAGCGCGTGCAATAAATTGCCACGTTATTCTGTTCTTGATATCTTTGAAGCATTTTTGCTTTGTCTTAAAAAAAGGTTGGTTTACCTTAGCTGAAATGTTGACTGGGTTGTCAAACTCAGCAAGCAAATTATGCGTCCCTTTTTAATATTAGAAATTACAGCTTAGAATGAAAATAGTCTGCCACATACCATAATAATTCCCTTCATAGTCGCGCCCTCTCGCGACAAAGCGCTCCCAAGACGTTAATGAGCGAAATCAAGGTCGATATCTTCTTGATCTGTAGCCGTCTATTAATAATGATTATGTTTTCGTGTGTTTTTTTCTATATTCTAAATGATAAAAGACTAGAAAACTAAACGTAGTTGTCGATTCGAACGACATTACTCGCTTATATGGGATACGTCCTTTTGACGACACGGATGTGCTCTGTCACTAAATAACACGGGTTATAGATTGGTATATTTTCAATTGCTTTGATTGATCTATGAATGAATGTTAGATTCACAATAAGACGGCATGGGACGACTGAAGATATTAATACTACATGCTTACTTTTATTCGTTTCGATTTATAACTCTTTCTCATTGAAAATTTCCGTGGGAGTCGCACATAATGGACTCCCGATTAAATAAATGTGCACGTGTAACGTTTTCATTTTTTTTCGAGTTTTAATCAGAATTACCTTTTGCTCGTGTCTTTTTTTTGATTAAGTTACAATGCGTGTTACAGCCACGTACACTACAGGTCGACTAGTATTATATAACTATATGCACTCTAAAATAAAAAAAAACGGACTCTGAATCTACGATTCGTCGATTTTAAAAAAAACGATGTAGCGTAAATCGTCCCTGTTATGTAATTTTCTCGTTTAGCTTCTGTTTTTGTAGGCGTATCCATAGCAACGCTGACGATTCCCCGTGCACGGAAATGATTTGATTCATTTGGAAGAATGCACTGAATGTTATTATAGGTATTTTTGTTTCGCTAATATTATTATTATCGGAGTATACTGCCTGTATAGCGATGACAATACACGACGCGACCTTTCTGTCTCCGTACCTCTGTTTCATTACAGACAAAAATATTATATATATTGTAATGGAATTTCAGAAATAGTTAGAAAAGGGGGGAGGTAACTTTAAATATGTGAGATTTAACTGATATTCATAGGTTTTGAGCGAAAAATGCATTTATATTCAGATTTTAAAATCTACGCCACAACAAAGAGCATTGTTCCATTTCCGAGATGTTTCTACTTTTCCCATTGATTTTGTTAGTGTATGTAAGAAATAATTTAAATTCATGTTTCCGACCCCCGGCGCTGAATGTTATTTATGGGCTGATTACAATTTTAAAGGTCTTGGTCTGTTAACATGGGATTATTACAAGTACAAGTAAAATAATGTGAAAAGAAACGGAAATAAAGCCATCATGAGTTGTCGCATGAATGATTCTGCCTCGTTGATTATTCATGACAGATTACTAGTACATTCGCCAGTGTAATTCACTGAATACATGTTCTCAAACTGGCACACCTCGATCATTGAGGTACTTATCAGATCCCAAGAATGTGTGTCACGCAAATCAATGATCTAGCTTTTTCATTCACACCTAAATAAGGAATAGTACAATTTACGATTTTCAGACTCTTTGGTTGCTTGGTAACTATGCGCGAGACAGTTTCGATCTCTTGGGCAAAATATAAAGTACAGGCATTGTGTTGTGGCGTCATTTGTTTACATTTTTGCCAACCAACATAAAATTATTGATAATGTCGCTCACTGATCATTAATTAACCAATGACCTGCCGTGACAAGGTTTCCCGTAAGTTGTCCTGTTAACAGGGACACATAGATGTATATTTAATATTCCAGCTCAGCGAACAACACCGTTGTGTTTTCGAGAGCGAATGACAGTTTTTGCTAACCAGCCACTGCGCACGTGTACGCGCCAACCAGTCACCGCGCACGTGTGTACGCGCCAACCAGTCACCGCGCACGTGTACGCGCCAACCAGTCACCGCGCACGTGTACGCGCCAACCAGTCACTGCGCACGTGTACGCGCCAACCACACACTCCAAACAGTGGCGGCGCTCTCACTTCCGTTCCTCTGGTTTCGGTTTTCACCACTGTCACACCGTAATTTGCATATGTTCAGTAACCTGCATAAAAAATGTGGTGAATCACCACATTTTTTTTCAAACAAAGATTATATGCGTATAACCTTTATGTCTTTTTACAAAATAAATACAGTGATGTTCATAAATAAGAAATCATCCAACAGAAAGTGTCCTAAGGTGTATACATGTTACTTTTGTACGAGACCTGTTTTTCAAAGTGGAAGTACATTCATGTTTACATGTGTGATGATTGGCTAAAGGAAACTTTCTGCTTTCGCATGTCAAAGTCTGTTTTACTTTATCAAAACTACTTACACTAGTCTTGCGAAATCGCAAGATATAAATGAAGGGGAAAATGCGTGTGATAGCGAATATTCGAAGTTCATATACAAGAGCGGAATAACAATATTTCAAAATTACTGCACAACACGAAGAGAATTCGAACGTATTTGATTAGGTTCTCTAGAACATATGCAAATTACGGTGTGGCAGTGGTGAAAACCCGAACGAGAGGAACGGAAGTGAGGGCGCCGCCAGTGTTTGCCGCCAGTGTTTGCCAACCAGTCACTGCACAGGCGTACGCACCAATTAGTCACTGCGCACGCGTACGCGCGAATAACGTAAAGTGCGATGGCCTATAATTACGGTTTTATTGGATAGGCGTATACTTATTTCATACATATCTTTTATTATTTGTAAACATATGTTTTTGTATAACGATCTACGGTTGGGTATGTCATTTCCATTTTTCAACATTTTATCAGCCTTAACAACAAAATACGCACATACGAATGCGCGTAAGCAGATTGCATCCGTTGACTGCACGCTGTAGCAATCTTCCACACGTTGCAAATAGATCATACGCGATAGATATTTATCTTCTCGTCACGTGTAACCAAAATCGTACGTAAAATTGCGCGCACGTGGAAGCTATCTGCTTTAAGGTAGAGATGCAGTTTACCTGACAGGTATTTTAATTAGTTAATTAGGAAACCAAGATGATCTCCCTTGTCCACAAAACTATATATTTTCAGAAAGCTTATTGTATGAATTTTAAAATTTTGTTAGTATTTTTTTTATGGATACTGTAGTTTGAAATATGCACAAAAATGTGCTTTTTTGGTCAAAAGTGATTTTAAAAAATAGCTTCTAAACCATGCTTCTGTTTCCTGTCAAAATTGGTTTACGGGCACATCTGTTTACTATGAAGAAAGTACCGTCTTGAAAACTGTCTACCAGTTGTCAATTTTGCAGGGCAGCAGCTCAAATTTCACTACTTCAAGTTTATGCATAAATTAACACCCATGCTAGTTGTCTGTACGATTGTTGTAACACTGTTCAACCAAAAACAATGCTCCGACGGCGTTTTAAAGATAAACACATTGTCAATCATTTGTGAAATTTTCAAAACAAAAGGTCAAAGCGTCTGGGAAATATTTTTTTTTAAAGTTCTGGGATGTGCTCTAAAAAGAAGCTGAGATAATTGCTAATTTGCATAACAATTCAGTCAGTGAGAAGTTTGCTAATGCTCATATTTAAAATGGCTGTAACAGTTCCAAATTTAAATGTATTATCGTTTTGTAAAAAGTTAAATATAGTGCATAATATGGAGGTCCCGTCATTTCTTTTTTTCACCATTATTTTTGTACAACCTTGCTAAATCTTGCTAAGCATTCAAAAGAGAGAATGTTTGCACCTGTTATCTATATTTTAAAATCGTCTTTTGAGTATGTTTCACTATTCACAATTCTACAAAATTTTAACAGTCTATAGCCAAGACTGTTTGGATGATAAAAAGCAAAAAAACAAAAATTTCACTCCAAAGTGCCCAAGAACCTGCATCTCCACCTTAAGCAAACAACCGCGAATGAATTTTGCCTTTAGTATCCTTCGTGTGTGCCAGGCTTTAGTGTGTCGTTCAACTTTATCTAAAATTAAATGGTTCGTCTCCGTCACGTCTTTTGGAGACGATGGAAAATTAATAACGTGACAACAAACATGTTTAATTCTATTTGACAGATTGATAGTCACTGAGCAAAAAGGGGGAGATCAATTTTAAGAAATTACCCCCAAAGCGCGCTTTATATATATATGGGCGATGGTCGATCAATATCTTTAAAAACTGCGAGTTAATTACTTAGACGTCGTGGTGCAAGAAAACTGCCTGAGAGCCCGCCACTAAGCCTCGTAATTAAATTCGTTGTTTGGCGTCCTCTGTGTGTAAATTTGGCTGATTTTTGCGAAGAAAGAAACACAGATTTTCCCATTAAAATAACAAAAGGTTTTTATTGAACATGTCTTTTTTCAGCAATTGTTGAAAAAAAAATGTAATGAATGTATGTATATGCATACAAACATACACTTGCAAAAGAGCCTTTTCAAGACAATATGAGACGATGATAGGCGCAGTATTCTCGGCAGGTAAGACTTTGGGGGGGGGGCATTTCTCATTCTAAGCTTACTTTCGCAATAAAAAGGCAATAAAAATATTAATATGTGCGAATTGCGGAGAATGTGTGATTAAATATGCAACTGAAACGAACCGCAACATTCAGACGCCCTGAACATGATTGATTATTAAATGATTAAGTACCTTTCAATGTCTGATTTTCCGCTCACTGCGAGATCTCGCGTACTGCGTGAAAGGCGATGACCGAACGTTCTCAGAAAAATCCGAACGATGTCGAAATGCCGACTATAGTGAATGTGATACCCTCAATTCATCAAAATTTATCATCATCGAATGTGTATAGCACATAGCATTATTAAACGTGGAAATACCCTCCCCCCCCCCAAATACTTTCGCGTCTGTCGTATCTCACGCAAAGTTTCAGTTTGACGCCACTACGACGCAATGACCTTTGCTCATCCTGTTTGTACGTTCGACATCACGCATAAATCATGATTTTGCACATTGAAATCTTTGTTTTCACAATAAGTCCAAGACCACAACAAATGAATGTATTTACCACGAACAACAATAATTAAATGGAAAAAAAATGCTTTTTAATTATACATGTGAATTTGGTTTTATATAGTCTCTAATAGCAATATTGACGCTTTGTTCAAATATGTGTTTATTTATCGCATATACTCGCCTACAATTAAAATCTTTGAGGGGACGCAAACCACAAAAAAAAAATATTTATCACGGCCTAATTATCAATATTCCAGCCTTCCACCTATAATAATATGCTTTTTATTATGATATGTGTGAACTTATTTTTATTAATCTGTTAATAATGTATGTGATGTCTTGGGTATGGCAACCAGATACACACATACACCTTAGTTCACGAGTTTAGCCAGGGAAGGGGGTTTTAGAATGACATTTAATAAATTCTTTCATTTGCGGTTACATAATAATGTCGATGATTCAGTGCATGTTAAATGTTTGTGGAAGTGTATCGAGTGCACCATCACATCTGATGAAGCGTGGCGAACCACACAGAGGACGAAATTGCGTGTAGTTTGCTTCATACGCGCTGCGAGTATGATGACGCTGGTAATACGCGCGTCAATATCAATATCATTATAAGCAATCAACCACAGTTGCGCATACACAATAAACAATGCGGCAACCTTGGCGCAGGTGCAAAGCAGGCGTTCCTACAGTCATTAGTTGTATTTGCACGTCGTATTTTGGTTCATGATTTGGAAAATTTATTATTGTGCATAATTATGTTTTGAACGATTCTTTGGATTCACCTTTTTAATTTTGGGTAAGCATCTGATAATGTCGAACAATAGACGAGTTTCGAGTTATGGCGCCATCAGTTTTTGTGAGCCTATTTCTAGGTCGCGCAATTTAACTGTTCCCGGCGTTATAATACGCTATCGAGCGTTTACGTAGCGAAATCACCACCACCCCTACGTAGACAAAATTGGAACGTTTTTTACTCTATAACGTACAAGTTTCTACGGTAACGACGGAACTCAAAACTTAATCATGATTTTATGCGGTTATGAACTCGTACACCTTACAATAAATTTACATATCAACACGCCATATTGATAACAAATATTAAACTGTATTGAAAACTTCCACATTGTACGTAAACACTAATAGACGACAAATAAACAACTTACTCGGTGCGTAATTTCTCGGCTGTGTATAACGTTTTCATGGCAACGAGTCCAAGAGTCTCATGTCTCCCAAGAAATAACTCGCCGTATGTTCCACTCGCGATGGGGCTAACTCGAGTTACGGCATCAGCCTCGATTACAATGTCGCCGTGTTTCATGGCTGAACGAAGGGTGGCCATCTTAGATAATTATCGCTGATCCATGAATGGCCTGTTGGTGGAAAAAGCATTGACATTTATTGATAATCAACCAATGACACCGATAACCTCTTCATGACCCGAGCACGCCTATTTTATTTTAAAGAGATCTGAAAATCGAGGAAAAACAAGACTAACAAAGTTAATTCGTGTGCGTTTTTTTCTTCTTCTATTAAAAAAAAAATCTTCAAATGACAATAAGAAAAAAGACAATATATTTGTACGGGTTGGTAAACTCTATTGTTGGGCTCGACAATAAAACAAATGGTTTGGAACCGATGAATAGAAAACCACAAGTGGAATGTATTATTCAAACTCACGCCGTTGCATGAATACGTTTTTATTTCATTCTCAGTATGGTAACCTCGGCATTTTTGATTATTACATCTCGAATTCTTGTATATATACTAAAAACATACAAACAAAGGTAGTAAATATGACTGACATGCAGCAAACCACTTATGATTTGAAGAATATGCTCGCACACAATGATTTCCATTTCAATAAACTCAAATTTGATGTAGTTAATATAGTTTCACCTGGAGATGCTAATTAGACATATTTTCAAAATAAATATTCAATTCTGTTATGACAACATTAATATTTCATTAATATTCCACGAATGCTTTAAAAATATCGCTGTGAAATGTACATGTCTTGTTTCTATCACAGGCTGATCTTTGTGTAGATTCAAATCAATTAGTCCACATGCTTTGCGAAGTCGGGCACCTGTACGACTTCACTAGAATTATAATGGACGATGTCTGCTAGTTCAATAATACAATGTTTTATTTTGTAGTTGTTGTTTAGTGATTTACATCCAAACGTCTATTAATAGTATACAATCTAAAGTACGTTTGTGCAAGCCTTGTACGTAGGCCACGGTACACTGCAGTGAACCGTGTGAGGATTTGAGAGATCTGAGCGAAACGTCGCGACTGCCACTACCCCTGTTACAACAGTGTCGTAAATATTGTGATACAAGTAGAAGTGGCTGGTTCCTCCATTGTTCACAACACACTAAATTACACACGCAAGTAGTCGTTTTAACACGCCGCGTTTGGCACTAGATCGTTCCCTCTACTCTAAAGCACATGGTTGCTAAGGAAGCCATTTCTGTTTACATTCCATATTTCCACGTTACCTTACCTCTGTGAAGCCGACAACAGCACGGTCTCGCCGATTTCAATTTACCGATCACCACAATCACTTTGCCTCAGTGTCCACCGCCAGTGGTTCTTTACAGCTCCTTCACAATCACTTCAGGCCGTTCCCACCGACGTCACATGGCTAGCGTCCAACTCTCGGCATTGTCTGCCTCGTTTAGAAATCCTCAGTGCAACAAAGGCGTTCGCTCTCCTTTCGCTTTTACAGTGTCGTCGGCTATTCGCGATTCGTCGAGGTCAGTCGAGTGTATACGGATCACGTGCTATGTTCACCTAGTACACAAAACATCCGCTGAAAGAAATGAGGTCGCGATTTAAACATACAAAAACACGCCCAACACTAATCTTAACACTGCCAGTTAAAATGGACGTAAACAAAAAAAAAAACGTTGGAGCAGACCATTGATTTACGCTGCTTTAAAAAAAGAGATTGACATTGCAATTGTCTACTATGCGAATTAGAAATAGCTGACATAAAATAAATAATAAATGTGCCCATATATAGCAACAGTTTTTTTGCGCTTATCTTATTTCACGTTGTCGGATCAAATACTAGTTTTACGGCGTGTTGCTATGAAAAAAACAATGCATTTTATGAATAATGTTGATTTGAGGGAAAATAAAATATTCACACCACTTACACTTTTGTGCCATCGTTAGGTTGTATCTATGTATGTACAGGTTTGGATTCGCTGACCTCCATTCAGGTGTGGTTACCTTTTCTGTTGGGCGCCCTCTTGTGACAACATATCTAATGCTCGTTCTATATGTTTTCAATATTCGGCTGGCTCCAAAAAACAAACGGTTAGCGTTATCGACATTTATTCACTGTAATTTACGAATGACCAAGTTCGTACGATACATCAAGCAACATAGGTCAATGTCACACGAACACGAGGATGCACTATCGCGGTACTACGATAACGGAAGTTCCACTTTCAACCATGTGTTCAATCACTCGATGGCTCACACGGTTTTACCATAGACCCTCTACTATGGTTTTACGGAGCTACTTCTTTGGTCAAATATATCGCGTCTTTAACAGGGGGGGGGGGTGCACCACGATTGCAGTCCGTTTGCCATTGACGAATGCGCACTGAATGTGACCTGTACACGACATGACACACACAGTTTTGTCTGGGGATATAGGCTACACATTAGTTTTTACCATAATGTAAATGTTTAATTTCACAAAACATAAAGATTTCAAGTGGCCTCCTTCCTAACCAGAATTAGACCTGATAATGAGAACACAGCCGAATACCAGGTATGTATATCCAAAGTTTGATATACTTTTCTACAGTTATGTATATAATAGTTCATCTTTCTCCGACAATAACATTGACTCCGCCATGTTTTTCAATAAACAAATTGTATATCACGTGATAAATAAAAACAAATATAATTGGCTAATCGCCGATAGTCGGCGACTGGGTGCATACGAACACTTTAAGATCCGACTGTGCAATCTAGCCGTGAGCCAGCCCTAGGTGTGTGTCCGGCAAAAGTATGGTCCTGGCTCCTTGGTATCAGTATCTTCTCCCGATTACCACGAACAAGCGTCTATTTATTCACCCTTAAAACACAATCTTTATATGAGAGGAAGGTAGATTGTAAATGCAAACATTAGAAATTCAGAAATATTTCGCTCACCCAAATCAGCTACATATAAATGAAAATATAAAAAGAAAATATGCATTAATTTCGCAACAAATTGTACCCGGACAGTATAAAGATACCGGCTTTAACCAAGTATGAAGCCACCAGCCTAGTATTTTTGAGAAAATATTGTATTTTAGTAAATAGCGTCAATTGTGTCCGTATTATACCGTTTTTACCATTGGTCCATATAGCGGAGATACGTTATATCTCGTATTGTAGGCTAATGACATAGCTTAACAAAACTAAACATCGTGTATGGGTAAATATATTTCGTTATTCTGAATTAATTTATTGGGTTTTGAAAATTATACTCTAATTATGCACTCTTGTGCTTAAAATAAGCAACAAATATTGTAAAACAAATTTGGATAGTTTTACTCAAAATACGTCACTGTAAAATACAAAATAATGGTGTTTTATGTTACCATAATATTTTTGTTTTTGAAACTGAAAATAATAGATAATATTAAATACATATAAATATAGAGAAGGGGGATCTTCCACGTACACATGTTTCCCTAACATTTTGATCACATTTCATTATATACAGTATACCTGAACTTGAAAACACTGAATTAAGCTTTTGTACTAATGAATTTTCACTTTCATTTCCCTGCAATCATGTTTCAATAAAATCTGATTAAAATAAAATCCTGGGTGACTGGCGTTCTTCTAACAGATTTACACTTGTTTCCAAGGGCAACCCCCTGACAATTCTCATGATAATTCTTCTTTATTTATTTTTTTAGTTATAAACGAAGAATCTTTTTTTCAAAAGAGATGTTTCTACAGTAACCGAACCCGGACTTCTTCGAACATGTAATTGATCGCTACTTATGTCACTACTGACCCCTCCTGAAAAAGTCATAACATAACCTCTTGCATTATCTATTACACATTAATCACACAATATTGATGTTTCCATGGTAACCAAACCAACATCAATACAAAAATGTAGTTGGTTGTTTTCTTGTAATAATAATTTTCGAGAATCCATTCATATTAAATTATCTTCCTGGTGGAGGTAACAAATAAGCACGACGAGCACACCTAAATTACTCTCCTTTTGCTGAATAATCATTATGATGTATATTTCAACCCTATGCTCAAAGTGAGATTAATGACGTTTTCCTGAATAGGCGTTAGAGGGGCGCATATCAGAACAGTGAATAATTCGAACGATCACAGACTCTTCATCATTACGAAGGACTTGCCTCATATGAGTACGGCCTTTACGTACAGTTTTACAAACCACCAAATTGTTCAGTCTTGCAACCATCTTGATTTTTAAATGTATAATGTTCCAGAAACCGTGCGTGTGCACGCTATCTCGCATCATGATAGTTTACGTTCAATTACGGCCGACGAATCGCAATTTTTTTTTTCCTGGACTCGGTAAATACCTATAAAGCGCTCGCTGGGTTAATCTAGCCCACTGCCATTATGCATGATAGGCAAAACTACAACTGTCGCTGTGCGCGTCACTTCAAAACCATGAATAAAGAACGTATAGTAGTGACATTGGTATTTTGATGTGTAATTATATTGATGGCGCCCTCTAGTGACGGAAATAATTTTGTTTTGTTGTTGTTGTTGTCATTTTGAGAAGCAAAACAGCTCGTTGTGAAGGTATCCTACAAACTTCACCAACATATTTAGGCAAATATAACAGGAAGCTGTTGCCCTTTTTTATTTTTATTATGCAACATAAAACAACATTATTAAAGCGGGAGGGTCGTTACCTGCGCACGCGCGGGAATTGAGTCCCAAGCGACGATAACAACACACGCTAAGAACGCAAAAAAGCGGGTAGACGCTTGTTTGTAAACAATGACGCTATGGCCATCTGACGCATGCGCAGGTGACGACTCCCCCGCTTTAACAATCACGCACTCTTTATACATATTGCATCTTTTTACATTATTGAGAGTGACATGTCATGTTTATTTTTCCAACAAAAAAGCACGTAAACACAATCTTACAACACTATGCTTATTGGGGTGGATTCTAAAGGCTAGGATTAGTACAGATATCGTTGTGTTGTGAGGGCGTATTCAAGATTGTGTGGTCTATATCACATTTGCATAAACGATCGCTATGCATAAATTCAGATTACCGTTAGTCTACCATATTGTGATTGAGAATAAAGATAAT